TTAATCTTATTATTTAAAAATTACAAGCTCAGAAGGTGATTCAAATATGCAGCCATGATTAAGAACCATTATTCTAGAAGATATGGAAATCTGGGTTCCCAAATATAGTTGAAGCAATTAGGTGGAATGTTAAGGTGGCTCCCCGTGGTCCAATTATGTTTTTAAAAATATTTATACAAAGGGTCCCCTGTAATTCTTAGCTGAACCAAACTGAGGATTGTCAGACAAAGTAAATGCATAGGACTAAGTGAGAGAGTTACCTGGGGTTCTACAGAGGCAGAGTTGGAACAGGTGGGAAGATATCTTGGCTCCTCATCACACCATGGTATTGTGTGTCTGATGGGACCTAGTTTCTTCAGCTCACTCAGAGAATGGAGGTCAGGGAGATTTGGGAAAGAAAAAGCTAGGTAAATACTTACCAATCTTTAGGAGTTTGCCCTTTGGCAAACTCTGAAGTATTGGATCCTGATTCATTTCAAAGCAGCAAGGCTTGATGAGTAACAAATTATTAAGAGATAGGTATTGGTTATAAGCATGCTTATTAGTCCATTTTTTCATTACTATAATGGACTACCTGAGGTGAGGTACTTATAAAGAAAAAAAGTTTATTTAACTCCAAGTTTTGGAGGCTGAAACTCCAAACAGCATTGCATAGGCTCTGATCAGGACCCCCTGGAGCACCACCTCATGGTCCATGGCATCATGGGTGGGATGCATGTGAGAGACCATAAGGTAAGACAAGAAGCCAGAGTGATTCAGGGGAGTTACCAGTAATGACCTCCCACTAGGCCCCACCTCTTAAAGTCCCACCGTCTCTTAATATCACTGCCTAGGGGGCAACCTTCCAACACATGGACATTTAGGGGATACACTTAAGCTTTATCCAAACCATACAATAGTGCAAAGGGTTAATCTAAAATAGCATAACGATTTCTTCTTATCACCATCTCTTCACATTGCCTTTACTATAAATTAATAATTTGCATTCCTTTAATGCTAGAGTTTGATGGTGATGGGACTTCTGAGCCTAATAAGATAGACTGACAGGTACCACCTACACATCCATCTTTTGAGAATAAGGGATGAAATTTTCACTGAAATCCAACACAAAAGCAGAACATCATCAAAACATGTTATTTTTCTGGCTTGTTTTGCAATTTGGAAATTGACTTTTCCGGTCTTTCAAAGTTAGTAATTAGCATGGAAAACTGATTTTAAGGAGACTCAAACCTTGATGTCAGTGATCCAAACCAAACAGGATTTTTGAGCTTCCTTTCACTCCAGGAATTGTCCCTGAGGTTTCATGATCGGGATGGGAAAAGAAGCTGTGAACTTGAACTTGCAGGATGCAGCCTGCTGCCAGCGAAACAGTGATGAGTTTCTTGAGGCATTTAGAACTCTCTCATATTTTGAGATTTTTCTGCCCAGGGCCATGGAGTTGGAGACTCCAGAAAGGATTTTTGACTGGGCTTAGGAGGAAAACAGGAAGGATCCTTGCTGTTTAAATGTTGTGATTTTACTATTTCAAGTCAACATTTACCATTTCAAGTGCATGAATCAATTAGTACCTGCAGCCAAGGCAATATCAAAATTTAAGGAAAACTTAATAAATAAACTTCTGAACAAGAGAAGTATTTAACCTACTTAGGAGGACATGTTTTAACTGTTTCACCTGCCTGACTCTAAAAGAGAGGTGTTACTTCCATTTACCCAGTGACGATTGTCAGTAATAAATTTGGATTAGATTCCATCTGTTTTCCTTATCTATTTTTTTTTTTACAGTGTATATGGTACAGTGTGGCAGGTGCATGGAAATGTAGTTGGAAGAAAAAAAAAATAGCCTGTGGAATTTGATCAGATGGGAGTTTGCCATTACATTCTCTTGGCAGGTGCAAAGTGGTTGTGTGGGGTCTGGGGGTTCATTTTGAGGACTTCAACTAATGAGCAGAAGATTGCCAGAAAGAGATAGGATTATCACTTGAGATTTTTAGAATTTTTATGCGTGCATAATTAACATATAGTGAAGTGCATAGATATTAAATTGAATGTGCAGT